ATCAGTCATTATGGTTTATAGACTTGCTTCTAAATAAATTAGTGCAGACAATTATGTATCAGGACAGGCTGACATTGCCAGCAGTTTATAAAGACACTAAGGAGAAGTGTCAATACCCTAAAGGTAAAAGTGTGGTCAGAGATGCATTTCCTAATCATTAATTCTAATACAACTCAGCTCTTTTTTGAGTTAGCAATAGTCCTAATAACACCGCAGTGTTTCTGAACATCTGATCAAAGGAATTAGTTGGTTCTTTTACTATGGGGATTTACCCAAATGTCCTCAGATAGGCTAAATTTGTGTAGCTTGATTGAAGCCTGTGGGGCATCTTTGGCTGGCATAATTCAACTACAGTGCAGTTAAGCCAGTGGCATACCATGGGTCTCTGGCACCCAGGGGCAATGTTTGTATTTGCAATGAGCCACCCCCCCTCCCCCCGCAGCCAATTGCCAAGCGGGGGGTGGGGGGGGAAGATCCCCCGGCAGCTGATTACTGAGCTCAAAAATGCCAGCAGTGAAACCAGAAGTGCCACTGGGGACAGAGTACCCCATGGAGGGCTCAGCTGGTGCCCCCCGCCCCCCACATTAGTACACCACTGAGTTACGCCGATTTATACATGCTGAGAATTTGGCCCCGTGTTCTTACCACTGCCAACAAAGTTATCCCAGTTGTGGTAGATACCCATTTCTAAAAAAACATGTAAACTAATGTTAGTTCTCTTTTAACCAATGGCTAAATCCAAAGCTTAATCTTGTCAAAGGGACTTTTGCAATTGACTTCAAAAGGCTTCGAATCAGACCCTAGGGGCTCAAATAGAAGTGACAATTTTTGCCTAATCTGGCCACAGAAAGCAGTCCATAGCCATGACCAAATACAAGGGCACAGCTGCAGACTGCTTCAAAAATGGTGGATTGGGTGAAAATCTGAATCCTCATTGCATGAGGCTTCAGATGAAGACATTTCAAAACATAGTTTCTTCTGTAACCTGTGTTTGTGGTGCCTCCCAGCCTGTTGCTATTTTCAGAATGGGAGGGGAGAAAGAGAGCAGGGTGAGTTTGAGCTGGGGGTTCTTCAGCCTATGCTGGGGAGGTGGAATGGATACATTTAATTCACCCACCCCACCCTCCAGTGCTGGCTGACGAACCCCTAAAACAAGCTCCCTCTGCTCTCTTTGCCCCCATCCCATTCTGAAAACAGCATGGGCTGGGAGGGAGCTGGCAGAGAGGACAGCCCATTGCTAGAGGAAACTGGCTGCAGGCTGGTAGGCAGCAGCTAGATTCCCCTCCCCCCTGGAGCCAACAGTGAACTTCTGTTTGGTCTGGGGGATCGTTGTAACTCAGAACGCTTCCTGCAAAGCCTTCTCAGGTACAGTGGGGAGCTGTACTTCTGTCTGCATCCTAAATTTCCTGAAGCAAATACATCTGTGTGCAGCATTCAGGCCAAAGGGCATATTTCTCCATTATAGGTGAGGACATATTTCTGGATAGGAAAGTCAGTGAAAATGTGAACCTTCATTTATTGTCCGTCTTGAAATGGCACCATACATTTATAAAATAAAATCTGTATAACTTATTTTCAGTTCTAAAATAGTAATTAACTTAAATGTAAAACCATGTCTGATGAGATGAGAAAATAGCCCCCATTTGGCTTTGAGTTTACAAAGGAGTTGTTTTGTCTGTACATCCCAATGAGTGCTCTCTTGTTGAGATTCTTGCAGTACTGGGCTTGTTGAGGAGGGGTGGGGAGTGTTCCTTTCTAGCTCATGTCTAGAAACAGTCTTTTTTATGATAATAGATTTTTCTTTAAAGGCCATTCTAGTTTTTTGTAGGGATCATGGTAGAAATATTGCTTACCCCTGTTGTGTTATCCTGTATTTAAAATGAGTTCACAGGTAAAAGGTTTGAAGTGGAAACAGACTCTGTATGATGGTGGTTTAGTCTGAGTCCTTTAGCCCTAGATCATGTTCACCTTTTGTTGCACACAGTTCAGTGGTACCATAATATATGTAAATTTGTAACATGTTATCGCAGCAGTTGAGAGTCTTAGATTTTACACTTGTAATCCCTGATAATCATAGATACAATTGTACATTTTATTGATATAGTAAGTGTCACAGACTGGTATCCTAGTCTTCTACTTGATAATATACTTTCCCAGTGTGTAGCTTTACTGTCTAGGAGCAGACCAAGGAAGAAAGTGGGACTTATCAGGTCAGTCACAGTTCTTCTCTGGTTCCCCTGTAGCTCCACAGGGGAAGTTATCTGTTCCTGGCAAAGCAGCATTATAAATGTGGACCAGAAGAAGACTTTTCCATACTATGTCATCTCAGTGGAGATGCCTGATAGAGGCAGAACCAAAACAGAACCCTTTCCTGGCCTATCCATTTCCAGCCCATCTGCACAGGTAGTGCAGAAGACTCCAAGAGGCAATTTTATCTCCTGCACTGTGACCTGCACTGCTGGTAGCCAATGCAAATGTATGTCTTCCACTTCCTGCAGTGTCAAGGGCATATCTCAATCTTATGTTTCTAGAATACCACTGAGCATTGCTTAGTAGAGAATTTGGGATGAGCTGTCTTTTTATTCTGACTGTATAGCTCCAAGCACAGTAGAACCAAAACAATGATTAGGGGCTGATCATTAATCAGATTAAATAATCTCTATGACCATGTTAGACATGGATATTTTGCATGGGAGCAAACAGGGTGCAAATGAAATACAAACAGTATAAAGAAATAGCTTCTTATGGACAAACCAGTTATGAAGACTGCCAAATCCAGCCCCCTTCCCCACCCCCCCAAAAAAATACAAAAACAAAACAAAACCCTAAGGAGAAGGATTTCAATTCAGCTTCACATTCATGGATATGGAAACCCATGAGAACATAGAATCCTGCAAATAACATAGCTAATTTTACAGGTTAATGTACTTTTCCCTAACATGGGTGCAAGTATAAACGGTGACAGTTTACTGTGGAGCCAATTAGTCAACTGCAATAAAGTGCATGTGTAGATGAACCCAGCATTCTATACACAGGTCACTGGATCAGGGCTGAGGAGACACAAGTCTGACAGGGCACCTACACACGTGCCCAACGCCTACTCCAATGCATTCTAATATAGCATGAATAGGAGCAGACTTGATTAATCAAATCTGCTAGAGCATGCTACTTAGCATGCTCCAGTAGCCTTGGTGTCACATGTATTCAGTATCCCTGTGCTTCAAAATGGTGGTGGGGGCACTTTAACTAAAGCTTGTGGAATGAGCTTTAATTAAAGCACCCCTGCTGTCATTTTGAAGCATGGGGTGCTGAATATGTGAGATGCTGTGGGCACTTTAACTAGAGTGGCTCCCGAGTGTCATTCCCCACTCCCTCCCCTGGGGCACATGTAAAGACACCCATATTGACCAGATGTGTCTTGGGGCAAGTTGCTCTCACTTTCCTACAAAGTGCCTCCACTACCTCTCCTACCTCAGGTCTTTCTATGATTAGACTTGTACATTTTGGGAGAGGTGCTATCTGTTATTCTTAATTTGTACAAATAACTTTGAGATTGGTTTCAGCGGAGAAGACGGGGCAGAGGGAAGCTCAGAGGGGGTCCAAGATAGTGTTAAACAAGAAGAAAGCTAAGCAGTGCTTGTCAATGGCATGTTCAGTGATCATGGGGAGCAATGAGAGGTGGCAGAGGCAAGTCAGTTAAGTCTGTTGTTTTAGGGTGGGGAAGAAACAATTAGTCTTGTATTATGGGGGAACAAACCAGAAGTGCAACAGGGATGACAAAAGTAGGAGAATTACAGCTCTTCTTTTTAATGGGCACTGGACATCAGATTTCAACTTTCTCTCCACTGAACACAGAGGCAAACTTCCATCAGTTTCAACTACAGTAGGAAGATGTCTACAAACTACAAGGATGGTGCTTGTGCTAACTTATAAACATGCACCTTGAGGCCATTTCCTGCTGCATCTTTTCTTGACATGCCCACTGATGTCAGTGTGAATGAAGCAGGAGACCCTATCTCTGGGTCTAATGTGCCCTGCAGTGGGAAGCCTGCTAGTACTGATGACTCTTAGTAAAAATGCCATTAGTCCATGAACATATTCTAGCAGCCTGAATTGAAATATTGTGGCAGAGCAGTAGAATCCAAGTATTTTACCACCTGATGGCTGATTGGTGACCAATGTAAGCTGAGTTTGGTGGTGTCAGACTTGTAAAACCCTCCACCCCATCACTTTGAAGTGATGAGTTACTCCAAGGTGAGGAATGAGCCACATAAGCAGGATAGACTGACCAAGCTTGCACTGCTGCTCCCACCATTGTGGAGCAGCAGGGGACTCCTGTCTCCAGCGCTGTCAGTCAGTCACCTGTGATAAGCCCTGAAATCTACATTAAATGTTTTAAAGAGAAGTGAATCTGGATTTCTAGAGCATCCAAGTGACTGGTGCTCTGCTGCTGCTTCAGATGGGAAGATAGGTCAATAGAAAGCTACTCTCACCATTGCAGTATTCTGGTATTGCAAGAGTGTTATGCTAGCAGGAAGCTGCAGAAACCCAGTATTGAATCAGGTCCTTAATGGCTGATTTTAGGTTGCACTGATGTTTCCAGTTAACCTACTATTAAAATATGGGCAGAATATCACTATTTGCCACTGGTCACAGCAGTTACTCTGCAGTTCAGTTGAATCTTTACATTGCTCGACTGACTATATCAACTGAGATACTGCATCCCAAATGGACTTACTTTCACAGTATTCCTGGGAATTAATTGACAGGCCATGGGAAATCAGTTTGGGCAGAGTGACCAATACCTATTCAATGTGATAAATTCAATGTGATAAATACCTATTCAATACGATAAATAAAGCATGGCAATATCTATCCAATGTGATAAACTGGCAATGTAGATTGTGCATTTACTTGCCAAGACTTGGCTATGCTAAGTTTCATGTTTTGTCCAATTCCTTTATCTACAAAGGAAGCAAGGATAAATTGCAAGTCCTTACCTCTTCAACAAGTTGCAGCATACGGCGGGTGCTTTCCAGTGACTGGAAAAAATCAGGGAAAAGGAAGTTAGATCTGGCAAACACAGTTTCTATTACTAGCATACAGGCTTGTACCGATGGAGTTACTACCCTGAGAGAGAAGGAACATTCTTTTGAGTATTTTTATGCCCTTCCTCAGATACAGGCCCTCTGCAATGTTTGTGATATTTCCATCCCACTTTAAGGACTTCAGCTTAAGTATTGCCCCATCGATCGCATCACTTTGCTAGTTGTTACTGCCTTGGATTTTTTTTAAAGGTTTTGTATTCAGAGTTTGCAATAAATTTGCTCATGTTGTGCAGAAAAAGTGCTTCGGAAAGCAGCTATTCCACTTTAAAAATAGCTTCTGTGGTTTCCAACTAAAATTTCCAACCAAAATACCTGAATTGGTGGTTTATGCTTGCTCTTAAATTGGGCAAATTAGAAAAGTCTCTGGAGAAATTAAACTGCAGCTTTTCTTCCTGAGATCATTCAAACTGATATTGATCTAATATCTCAGACAAATTTGTGTGAAGAAGATGAGTAAAGGGTAAAGACTCGCATAGATATTTTTTTCTCAGATTTTAACACTATCAGATAGCTTAAATGGCTCTTGGACATACTTGGCTGGAGGGTAAATATTGGTCCCCACTTCAGCTGCAACTCCTTGCTTGAAACCAAACAGGAGGTTAATTTTTTCTTCCAACTTATCCCATTTTTTACATCTTATATCTTATATCTGTAGACCCCAAAGCCTAAGGTGATGGCTAACACCAATGAAAACTGGAGTAACTCACTGACAAACTCACTCTCTTGTGTCACTGGTGCAGGGAAGAAGAGAATTTCTTTCAGTCAAAAACTACACCAGTATAAAGCTAGCATTAAGCAGAAACAGACTTTCAAGTACATCACAGAGGCTTATGCCCATTTCTGGATGTAGGTTGCCCATAAAAAAAAAGCTCTAAATTTCTCACCCCCATCAGCCATTGGTCTCACCTCATCAGCCAGCTGGTCGGCACGCCGTTGCATTTCTTCCAACTCATTGCGCATATCAGCATCTTCGGCCATTTTAGCTGTGGATGTGTTAGTGGAGTCTTTGGATCGAGGTTTTCTGTTTGTTTTGTCTGTGAGCCTGGAATACAGCAAGCAGGGAAAGAAACCATGAGGTTGATCTCATTCTGCTTGGCAGGTTTGCGCATACAGATCAGCCTCCCCCCCCCCAAAAAAATGCTTTTATTGTATCAGTGCTCTTTCCACAAAATCTTTCAGCATGGTTAGCAATCTTTTACAAACTACAGAACACTCGTGGGTGTTTCAAGGTGATTTTCTGTTTCTGGACTATTAGTCACTTTCCTGAATATTAGCAGGAATGTGTCTGTGCTGTAGACACCAAGGAAAAAATAATTTCTTTTTGTTTTCTGAGCACAACATTTCTGCTAGCACTAAGCACCAAACACATTTCAAATAGAAAATTCAAAAGGGCTAACATTCAATTAGAAGTAGCAGGCTTGAGCACTATTTGTACTTCAGCAAGGTTGAAAGCAATCACCCATAGGGTTTTAACCCATATTATCTTGCAAAGTGTATTTCTTTCTACCTAGGACATGGAGGCCTGCATGACCCAGAGGGCCACTTCCATAGTGAATAAAAATGTGCATAGCTGCCAAACGGCTGAAAACAATGTAGCCCTTTTGTTTCTTCAGTTTAGGATCTCTTTGAGAAACTCTAATTTAGACTCAGAGATATTGAAAGGCAATGATAAAGCTTCCTAAATGGGGTAAACCTGTATGGCAGGGGGTAGAATTTATGAGGTAACATAATAGTCTGTAAACTTTTCAGGTTGTGGTCCGAAATTACTTGGTTAAGGTTAGAGGTGGGTGAATCTTAGGACCCTGCCAATGCCACTGTTTCTTTCTGCTGAAACATCGGAGAAGGCTGTGCACTGGATCTGGCCTGTAGACTGTAGGTTGCCAACCCCTAAGCTAATGGTTTTTTCTATAGACCCTTCTTAAGTACTTCTAATTCCAGAGTAACTCCATTAGGCAAACCTTTGCCTAAGATCAGGATGTGGCACATTGATTCTTTTTTTAAGAAGGTTTTATTTTTTGTTATAAACTCAAAGGATGCCAGCTAGCTGTGATTGCCGAGCATGATTTGTTTAAGAAAGGTGAGCCTTCCTACTGCCTGTCAAGCCTTTGTAACAACAACACTGGCTTAGTTCTCTGCTAGATTCAAACATGACATGTTGCAAATTAATGCTCACTGAAGGTTGGATTTATTTGTCACAGGAAGAACTAATCCAGCTGCAAGGGGAGGGTAAAGACACACAGCGGACTGAGAATAACAGCCATTAACCACCTGCCATGTTACTCGATTACCACAGCAGGGCAGAACAAAAACCCTTCCATTCACTGAAGCTGCACAAAGCAAGAAAGCAAAGCTAAGGAGGCCAATTTCTGTCTTGCCTTTACAACCTGTGCAGGCCTAATGAAACAAAAATACAAGCAGGACAGAACTTGGCCCCAGGAATTTGCCAGCCCATAATATCTGTCTATAAAAACAAACCCTCTGTATATTTATGCTAGGATAACCCTACCTCTAGCAGTGCTCCAATTGAAGATAGTAAGAGCACAGAGTGAGGAAGGACTGTAAGGGCCAAATTCTAAAATCAAAAGACAGTCTGCAGCATGCACAAGGGGGTGCTCCAGTGAGCTCACAGGGGAGAATGGAGGAGGAGGTGGGGAAGGGCCATCAGTTGTAGGCTAGCACAGGCTGAAAGCCTGGGACATCTCTTTAAGGTCCTGGGGAAAAAAAAGAGGGTTTGCCTGCTTGATCAATATAGACATGGATATTAGGGCTGTGCAAAACAGCACCGTTTCATTTCAACTTCTGTTTCGCCACTTTGACAGGACAGTGTCTCATTTCAAGTTTTGTTTCATTTTGAAACCACTGTTCTGTTTCATTTTGGCAAACTCTTTTACTGTTTTTGATGCAGTTTTGATGTTTTGCCCATAGGCTATAATGGGGAACTACAAAACTGCCTGTAACTTTGTGATTTCACGCCTGATTTGGATGAAACTTGTAAGGACAGTAGCCCCTTCTGAGGCTGTCAAGCCTGCCAGGTTTCAAACACATAGGTACAGCGGTTTATGGGAAACTGCACCACAAAGTCTTGAACACAAAACTTGTGTCACGTGTGTTGAGGCATAGCGGGGTGAAAACTGCAGGTATGCTAGCTCCTGCTAAGGCCACAAAGCCTGCCAGGTTTCAAGGAGATGGGTGCAAGGGTTTCTGGGACACTGCACCTCAGGCTGCTGACAAGCAAAACTCATGACGTGTGACTTTGTGTGTGTTAAGGCATGCCCTCACTGGCACTGGGGCCTCTGCATGACATGGTAGTGTGCCTCATTGAGATCTCCTCCTCCCCTACAGCCTCAGGCTAGACCATCACTTTAAATAACAACAGGTAATACTAATAATAACTTAGTGAGCAGCACAGTAGCCCCAGCACCATCTCAGGCAGCCAAACCGTAACAGTGTTTCTTTCTTCTCCCTCAGGAGCTTCTTCTCCAGTGTGTGTGTTAAGGTGTGCCCTAGCTGTGTCCCTCCCCTTTCTTCTCCCTCCCTCTCCTTACTTTCTGTTTCCCTACAGGCAAACCCAGCTTGAGCTTTGAAACTCGAAACATTTTGAAAGTTTTGAAGTGTTTTGAGGTTGTTTCAAAGCCCTTCGTTTTGTTTTGATTTCACTGTTTCGAGCTCAAAACGAATCAAAACAGCGTCGAAACAAAACAGCCGGCAAAATTTTGCACAGCTGTAATGGATATGCCATGTTACAATCCATCCATGCTCAGAAAAATTGATCCCTCCCACTCCGCATAGAAACCCTTTGTAGTAACCTCCTGCCATCTCCCCCATTTTCATTATCCAGAGAATGGAATATTTAATATTTACTATACAAGCAAGTATTTGAATTGGCATTTATTGGAAGGAACTCTGCACAACAGTATGGATAGTAACACTCTTGTTTACTTGGCTAGCATATGTCTGTTAATTAAAACTGAACAAAATGCAGGTTGCTAAACAATGATACAACTGTTGGCTCCCATTTTATCAGAATAAGGTAAACTAATTAAACAGCAGTGTCTAAACAGCAATCAACCATTATTTTGTATCAAGCAAAATGCTGGCTTGTATTATACATCCTTTTATGTAACATTTCATATTGTTATTGTCAGTCCTTTTCTTTTTTCCTTATTCTTTCATGGGAGTTCTTCTTCAGTGGGCCAACCTTTCCTTTCCATTGCCTTCCAGGGATCAGAGAGCCAAGGACATTTGCTGAATCAAGGCCTATTTTCTTATGAAATATAAATAAGAAAACCAGACAGTTGCTGTGTTTCCTCTGAGGCTTTTGCAAAGAATTGCCATGCTGATTATTTTGGGGAAAATGCATGACCTTCATGCTTTTACATTAGCTATGCCCTTGCTTGTGGTTGCTCTTGCTCTTTCAAGTTCAAGCAGGAAGAAATCTATCTTAAAGAGTCATCCCCCAAGTTTGGCTCAGTTTCGTGTTAGAATCATCAAGTGCATCTCAGTATCTCCATTTGAAGGGTGTTAACTTCTTCTGATGGCTCACATCATAATTAGAAGTTCCAGTATCACTGGGACCAATGTCTGGATGGGCAGTGCTGCCTGATGTGTTTGTTGTTTGCACAGTTCATTAGAACCCCCCACAAGGAATTAATCTGTGGGCCCTGCTGATGCAAATACAAGGCTTAATTTCATGGTGAATGTTCAGTGTGGCAACAAATGTATTTGGGCTTCTCAGTGTCAACAGTAAATAGGTTTCACACAAAATAGGGCACTCCAGAGATTAGGAGAGCGCCATGGGTGACACACCAGGGATCTTTCTACTCTGAAGTAAGAACATTCTCAGAGTGAGTAGAGTGTGATGATTCCATTGTGCTGTAGGAGCTAGTATAGGGCCTGAAAATGCTAATTCCCCTCATGGTAGAAACACCATGACGAATTTTCATTGCCTTTGGATGGGCCAGGCCAGGCCTATCTCTGTGGCCCAGAATGAAACTCCCTGAATAATCATTCCTGAATGTGGAGTGTGCAACATGGGAGTGTGGAAAGGCCAGTCTAGGCCAGGAAGGATTTTTTCCCCCCATTGAAAGTGTCATTGGAATTGACCCAGTTTGATTTCACGGAAATTGTATTTTCAAATGGAATACTCTTTTGCCCCAAATTTTTCAGTTCACTTGACATGGCAAAATGCAATACCACAGACATAATTGGGAACTGCCTTATTTACTTCTTGGTTCTCACTTACATAGACATTGGATCAGGCTCTGAATCGCATATAACAATTATAAGCATAAAAAAAAATTTCTAGAATTTTGCTTGTTATAGAGGACTTCAAATATGATTTCTCCTGTTCATCTCCCTGTGGATTGAAAACTTCTCCCCATTTTGTGGGTCTTAGTAACAAAGGACACAATGGGGGAACTTTGGGAAGCAATGGTTCCTGCATACAAGGTCCCCCCTCCTTTTTTTTTTGGTCTAGACTATCTTATAGTTGAAAAAAAAATCATTCAACACTTGGAGCCCATTTTTTGCCTGGTATAAATAGACACCTCCAACTTTGCAAGAACTATGTCACTAGCTTTTAGGACCTGAGCATCCAGTCTATTGATTCAGAATTTTAAAAAAACTAACTTCTTGGTGCAACCAGGTGAAGTAATGGAAGAGCTGTCCCTCTGGACTAAGGGCAAGGCAGCCTCCATTCATGTTACTTTCAGTACATAGTCTGTCCTGAACTGTTCTTCACAGATGGTCAGCAGCAGGCTTGATGCCCATCAAGCCTAGAACATCGCTACCTGATGATGAGTGGACATTCGTGTCCTGCAATGCTTGTTCAGCAGAGGACACCAATCTCATCAGAGTTTTTGCGTACAGTAGGATTTATCTCTGGAAAACTCTTCAATGATGCTAACCCTGTTTAGGTTAGAGCTCAGCCTGATGGCCTCTATGAATCCCACTCTCCCCAATGCATTCTATAGGGAATCTGCACCCCTATCTGAGGGCTCTGTATTCCATTAGGCAGCAAGACAGTAAAAATTAGGGGTTGTA